CGCCTACCATGGCTGATGGTAAGCACATATTTCGAGATGCCTGTGAAGAAAGAAAAGGTTGGAGCGCTGAAGTGTCAGAATCCTTGAAAAGAAAGTGGATCAAGTGGAACAATCAAATGAAGAATGTTAAAGTTCCTAGAGCTATAACTAACAAATCGGACGTGATTGAAGGCATTCAACTCCATTTGTTTGCAGATGCTAGTAACCTTGCTTGCTGTGCAGCAACAGTCGCAGAGCACAAATCAGGAACTGTGAAAGGTCTGTTAACGTCCAAATCTCGAATTTCCAAAAAGAACACCACAATACCGAGGTTGGAACTTGTGAGTGGTCAAATGGAGGCGAACATGGCAAGGAATTTATACCATACGCTACTGCGATTGCCTGTTAAGTCTATCATCATCTGGATGGACAGTATGGTCGCGCTTTACTGGTTAAGTAACCCTGGAAAGCCTTGGAAGACTTTCGTCGCTAATAGAGTTAAGAAGATAGCAGAAATTACCAACGAGATTGGTTTGGTGTGGAAGTATTGTCCATCAAGTGAGAATTTGGCGGATCTAGGCAGCAGGGGAGCTACAATTGAGAAAATGGTAAAAGACGGATGGTTCACTGGTCCTGAGTGGTTGTTACATGTGGAATAGTGGCCCAAACAACCCCATCTTAAAGTTACTACACACGTGAGCGAAGAGAGCAAACCCAGCATGGTGGGGTTCTTTTTTACCAAAGAACGAGAGCCTGATGAATGGGATGCGCTGCTGGAAAGAAGTTCGTATTGGCGCACATTAAGAGTTACAGCGTGGGCACTGAGATTCCTGCACAATTGTTTGGCGAAACGGCGTAAAGAGAAAAGAAAATCTGGGCCCATTGGAAACGAAGAAATCGTGAAAGCAAAGAATACATGGGTGATAAGGATTCAGAAAAATATTAACCCCACTCTACAAGCACCTGGCTGGAAAATCTTCGAAGATAAGAACACAAACATTCTCAAATGCAGGGGAAGAGTTCGGGGATATACTCCAACATTTATCGAAAGAGGATTGTTTGCAGAGAAGCTTATCACACATACACACAATCAAATTATGCACCTAGGCGTTGCAAATACAATGGCCGCCTTGCGAGAAAACTGGTGGATCCCTCAACTAAGATCGAAGGTAAAGAAGGTGATAAAGAATTGCAACGTTTGCAAACTGTACTCCACGAAACCATACGGAGCGACAGCGACAAGTAACATGCCTAAATTTAGAACTGAGACCAGCAAGCCATTTGAGATCACTGGCGTGGATTTTGCCGGACCGTTAAGGTACAAGGTCAGCAAAAAGGAAGATGGAAAGTGTTACGTTCTAATCTTTACTTGCGCTGCATGCAGAGCCGTTCATTTGGAACTAACTAAAACTCAAGAAGCTGGTGAATTTCAGCGAAAACTTAACGCATTTATTGCGCGTAGAGGAAGACCTCGCTTGATGATTTCCGATAATGCTGCTACTTTCAAAGCGACTGCAAAGTGGACTAAGCTAATTCGAGAAGCTTCAGGATTTCCTCGCAACCCAAGATATCTATTGGAGATTTAATCTGGCAAAGTCCCCATGGTGGGGAGGCATCTACGAGAGGCTGATTCGTGAAATCAAGAAAACCTTATACAAAACCTTGGGAAAATCACACCTATTCTTTGAAGGTTTGGAATCGGTCGTATTGAACATCGAAAGCAACATGAACAACCGTCCGTTAACTTACGTAGAATGTGATGGTGGGGAGGAACAAGTCCTGACGCCAAACATACTTCATTCGGGGAGAAAACTCTTACATGTTCGACGATGTTGAAGATGAAGAAGACGAGCTAACCAAGATGCAAAGAAGACTTAGAAAAGCAAAAGATGATGCATGGAAACGATGGAAGCGGGAATATGTGCATAGTTTACTGGAGAGCCAACGAGTCAATAACAAGGTTGTCGAAGCACCACAGATTGGAGACGTTGTCCTGGTAGTGGGAGAAGAGAAGAACAGGGGAGAATGGAAAAAAGGGAAAGTGCTTCGACAAGTTCGTGGAAAAGACGGTGTAGTCAGAGGAGTTGTGCTGTTGCACAAAGGGCATACTATTGAACGACCACTACAGTTGATCTGTCCGCTTGAGATTCACTGCACACCAAACGAACGACACAAAGAAGTTGAAGAAAAGGAATCGGAGAAAGAAAAGAGACCTCAGAGACAAGCCGCAAAGAAAGCAATCAAGAAAATAAATGAACTAACGCAGTTGGAAGAGGACTGAACATTTAATATATACGTTGATATTCGGGTTTGAAGTTATAAAAATTAAACCTTAATTTTTGGGGGAGTGTGTACGGAATAGTGGACCCCCCATATAAGTGACGTAAGCATGATTGACGTTTGCATAAAAGAAACATTAAGAGCATGTTGATGGGGGGTCGTTTATTATTAGATTATGTGAGACGAGACAAAACAAAACAAGTGATTAGTGAGCGTGAGAATTCTATATTTTTATACAAATAAATGTAATTTGTCTTTGTGATTCCTGTGGTTATATACCTGTTTACAATAGACACTTCCCGAATTTGCTTGAGTGCACACGAAACAATAGCTTGGAATCGAGGCGGACAATGTAATCCATTGGAAAACTATACTTATTTCCAATGGATTACATTGTCCGCCTCGATTCCAAGCTATTGTTTCGTGTGCACTCAAGCAAATTCGGGAAGTGTCTATTTAACAAGAGAAGTTCGGTATATCGTTTCGTTTCAAACGGCAATTTAATACCGTCTTCTGTTTCGCTCTCTCAGCGAAGTGTAAATCGCAAAGTGTTTCGAATAGGCTTACATGCAACTGCATCTCAACATCAACCAAAAGATCATTTTCTTGAGGAACAGATAAGTCATATAACGTATCAAGTCTGTTTGAAATTAATGAAACTCAAGTAAAGGTTACTATAGTTTACCCCAGACCCAGTCGTAATGTTGCTATTCCAACACCTCACGACAAGCAATAAACGTAAACCAAAAGTAAACAATAAACAGTCTGTTCTTGTTCCATTTGTAATCGAAAAAAGTGTCAATTTTCGAATTTTAAGCTTTATCGAGAGCCTTTGTGATGAATCACTGACCTAATTATAGAATCCAACAGCAAACAGCCAATCAGAATGCCGCGTTCGCCCACGAACGTGGTACAATACAGGGTGTATAAAAAAAAAGGAGACCTTTAGAAATCAAGCATATTGTTAAAATTTGAATGCCTTTTCGATTGTAATATGCTGAACCGGGGTGCGTGAAATATTAGGTGCATATATTAGGAAAAAGGAGACCTTTAGAAATCAACCATTGTTATAATTTGAATCCTGGAGCACTTTGCTAAGCCCACGAGTGCGTAACATGCGATCTACGTACAGTATGCATGGCAGATTGTTCCCAGGAGCAGACAATCTTTTGTTTAAACGTTATTTCGATTTCTAAAGGTCTCCTTTTTCTAATATATGCACCCCATCAATATTTCACGCACTACGGTTCAGCATATTGGCAATTGAAAAGGCATTGAAATTTTAACAACATGGTTAATTCTAAAGGTCTCCTTTTTTTTATACACCCTGTATACCAGGCCTTGCTTGCAGGCCCACTATCAGTTCCCTTGGGCCTGCACGCGGGCTAGACGAACAACAAATGCTTGCCCAAGTTCGTCCAGACGCATAATGCGTCTCTAGTATAAAAACGGCCAATGACTATAATTTTTTGTGGTTCAAAATGTCTCCTACAGGAGGGAAATGCTCCATTTAGAGTTGATCTTTTATATTTATCTCACACAAAGTATTATATCGTTTTCAAAATGGCAACCAATTTGGAGTTTTTGGACAAGAATTTTCTGGTTTCTTTGGTTGAATTTTCTATCTATTTTGAATATGAGCAGTGGACAGTTTATTACAGATACTGTTGTTGTTTCAAGTGAAGATAAATGTTATACACGATTCGGCAATTGTAACTTGTAAGTACATCTTGTATCAATTAGGCCGAGGGAATTAAAGTCATATACCGTCCTCCGCCCGCACGTCCAAAATTTTAAAATACTGCCGCAAAAAAATCATTTCAAAACATTTCGTTATTTGAGTTCTAGCCAATGGCATAGAATGCCAATGGCGTTAGACCTTGCAAACGGTGCGACCTAACAGCAATTTATAACCGATAGAAAAGGTACAAAGCTTTATATTTTTATATTTTATACTGTTTTGTTCCTTTTTGTCGATAGTTGATGAGAAATATTCTTTTCTAAAGCTTGCTTCAATTGTCAATAGAGGAAAGTGGCAAAGTGCTTTGTTTGGCTAATATTTTGTGTTTGTTTATGAATCCTATTTAATAATATTATTAACTTCCTTACTAAACCTGGATATAAAGTTTCTAAAATATTGCACATAGTGTATATTCTTACAGAATATACTCTTCTGGAAAGTATCTCACTTTGGCTATAAAGCCTGAGAAAAAGGATGACCAAGGTGATGTCAGTATGATTCAGCTAGGATATGTGTATAAGCCCACCATATTCATCACACTCAGGCCATTCCAACTTTAACTCAATTAAGCCCCCTGAATATAAGGGACCATTCATTATTTATGACTGGGGGTAGGCTCAGGGATGCCGGAACTGGGGGGGCAGGGGGGTGGCTGCCCCCCCTGCCTTTTGCTGTCTCCAAAAAAAAATTTTCTGGTAGCTTTGGAAGTTTTGCTCTATATTGGTGCCCTTGGTGTGCGTCCGCCCCCCTTTGCCTTATCATCGTTCCGGCGTCCCTGGGTAGGCTGGCAGAAAAAGGGGGTTGGTCATGAGCAATCTCGTTCCCAGAGTATGTTTGTTTGCGGGTTACACTCTGGGAACGAGATTGGGTCATGAGGTATTTTTTACCAAAAAAGGGGGGGGGGGCACCTAAAAATATTGGTTTAGTAGGGGAGTTCAGTTATTTTATTATAGTGGGGAAAATTTGACATGTAATGATTATTGCTACCACAGGGAGTGGGCAAGGCAGCAAATTTAATTCATGTAGCTGGCAAAATTCTCAATTTTAATCAACAGATAGACCCAAAATGCACGCAGCTAACATAAAAAACAATCGAACATCTACCTAATAACTATAACTCCTACCATGAACTTGCCATAAATTTTTGTCATGTTCCCCTGATGTACAATTCAGTAAAAGAGACAGATACAATAACAAACTAGAGGGCACTCAGAGACTGCATACCTCCGCCCGTTACTCGGAAGTGAAACGCAACCTTGGAATTTCCTAAGAAATCCACTTTATAATTCTTAAGCATAAAAGATTTCAGGCCCCCGCGAATTGAAATCGAATTGCTAATAGAACATATTGCTGTTGTTGTACTGTACAGTACTTGTAAAATAAAAACTTTTTAAGTGTCATTAAATAAATACACAAATTTTGCTTTATGCACTCGCGCGTGCAGTAATTTTCACAGTTGTGCTATTTTAAATTCCCAGGCAGCTAAAATCTTTTGTCTTTAAAACAATGTCGATTTCTTGGGAAATTCCGAGGTTGCGTTCTTTTTATACACCCTGTATTGAAGTAATCTAATGTTGTTAGAATTTGAATGGACTGGCACTTTGCTGAACGTAATAATGCGTAACTCCGTAAGCCTTGTTTTAGACATTGAATTTCGGTCGCGTGAAATGCAACTAAGACAATAGATAATGAAGGCCGAAGCTTAATGAGGTGTATCATCTCATTACTGTCTTAGCACTGAGTGCATAAATTATACACGTCCTAATTACGCATTCAGTAATATATTTTGTTAATTGACCGGGAAAAGCAAGACAAAATTTTGTTCATTTCTCGTTCAATTTTTAACCAAATTCAACCAAATTTTAATCAGTTCTTCCTTAGCCGATGGGAAATGCATTCAAAAAATTTCGTACGGATATGTTTGGTATTTCTTGAGTTATCGTGCTCACAGACAAACACACACACATACACACACACACACATAGACACACACACACATACACACACACATACACACACACACACACACACACATACAAACCCAGATGATTACATAACCTCCTGGCGGAGGTAATAAGTGCGAGTTTGGCATATACTATATACACTATTGTATACTGGGTATTTTATACATGGTTTAACCCATTGAGTGGCACCACTCTCCACTTGATGAGTAAAATCATTAGACAGAGTAAAATACTAAAGTATGGCACATCAGGGTGCATTGCCACTTAAAGGGTTACTAGTAATTTAGTGTTAATTAATGTGTGCTATAGTAGAAAATATACCGAAACTGGATTCTATCGGAATTTTTTATCAAAATTCTTCTGGCCAGTCTAAATTAAGACACAAGAGTTCAGGGACCGCGGAGACGGGGGGCCCCCCCCCCACTTTTTTTGACAGCCAAAATTATTAAAATAGAAATCTAAATGAAACTTTCTAAATTAATTAAACCTCACCCTTTAGCCCCCCCACTCTCTAATACGCTCCGCGGGCCCTGGAGTTTCCTGATTGATTGCTTACTTTTGCATTTTATATATACACCGATTGTTTGTAGAACATGCGAGAAGATGATCAGAATATTATTCTACGTAAACATTGTGAAGTTCAACGCTTTAGTTTCCAAAATATATCCACCCAAGTATTAAACAAATTTCAACCCAAACAATATATTCCCATGGCCACGTGCAAGGGCTTTCCCTGGCAGGCGGTCCCTAAAATTAGGCAAGCCTGTGAAAGTATTTTAGACAGCCTGCTATGCAAGGTTATCAATAAGGTGGCTTCCAATGCCATCCAACCCTTTTGAACACTTTTGAACAAGGGAATGGAATGTGCAGGTCGAGTCAGCAGACCCCCCCCCCCCCAACTTAGGTTAGCACTATTTTCCATCCAGCAAACTGACCTGATGTCATTTTCGAAAGATGGAAGAGGTGTTAAATGGCTATGTAAATAACCCAATCCCTACCCCTACTCTAACCCCTAACGGCAACTCTAACGGGCCTAACCGAATTAATAACAAAAGTCCAAAAAGAAAGACTTTAGAAATCGATAGGGCGGTTTGCTGGATGGAAAATAGTGCTAACCCTAAACCGTTCACGCAGCAACGCCAGCGAGCAACGCACGTGAAACAAATATATGGCGGACGTTTTGGTCGGTGGCGAAACAGATTGTTAAAGGTTTGGTTTCTTTTCATTTATATTTCTTGCTATTATTTAGAAATAACGAATGTATCAGTAAAGAAAGGTTATAAATCTTAATTTTGACGTGACAACTGAAAAATGGCTGCAATTTCTTGAATAGTACTGTATTCAAGTAATTCAACATGACAATATCTTGTTAATACTAATTATAGGATCGATTTGATTAAAGAAAGAACCTCAAAATTTTGGAGAATTTATCAGATTAGATAAAAGTTCAGATGAAGTATACCGTATGTGCTGGTTTGAGGATAATGAAAAAAGGTATAAGCATTGCCAAGGGTTTGAAGGTGATCCGCGAATTAAGGTATCATCAGTTTTAATACCGTCACGGCGTCACCTAAATTTCAAAAGTCGAATTTCGAACGAAAAAATCCAAGCTTTTTGCTAGCATTACTATCATTACCCTGGTTCCAGAGGCTCTTTGCGAGGCGAAAGAAAGAGAGGCGAGAAGCTAAAGCCTGCCGCACACGAGAGCAACTTTCTGAGCTATAAACCGCCTATAAAGGCCTTGAGGAAAATATCTGTCGTGTTTGATATTTTTCACCTGCGAGGAAAAAAGTCTCAACGTCTGCGGATGTTTTGAGCTTATGCACCAGTCGATGTAAATCTCCCCAACCAGGGAGGGGTGGGGGATTTAATGGGGAAAATGGTCAGTTTTGATTGTAAATATGTCCCCGATGATGAGGGACTTTACTCTGTCTAACGCCAGATGATTTTACTCGTCAAGGGGAGAGTGCTGGCGCTTAATGGGTTAACTGGCCTATCTGCCCATGTGTCTAATTAACCCATTGAGTCGCATTGCACCCTGACGCACCCTACTTTAGTGTTTTACTCTGTCTAACGCCAGACGATTTTACTGATCAATACAATAACAAAAATGAATTAGATTTTCTATTGCTGAAATCTATGAAATATACAAACTATTTTCCCAGGGTCGAGAGACATGCAGGGACATTGATTAATTACCCTTTCCTTAGGGCGGGGACAATTTCGCTCTTTTACTATCCCTCTAAGTCAAAATCCCTGCCCCTCCCCTGTTGGAGGGGGGGGGGGGGTACATTGACTGGTGCATTAGTGCTCAGCTGTGAGAATCAATTAGCCAATGAGAAATCATAGTTTCTTCATGTGACTTTGGACACAATGGAGGAAAATGCAAACGATTTTGTCAATTATGTTGTTGTTGAGCAGCTTTCCCAATGTGTGCAGTGAAAATGCATAGCTGAGCTTCGCTGCCACACGAGGCGGTTAGCTCAGGAAGTTTCTTGTGTGCGGCAGGCTTAAGAGGCGAGAAGAGTATAGCTATAATTGGCTTACAGTAATGTTTATTTCCCAAACCGGTTTGACATATTTTTACAAATGGCCAATCACATGCGAGATTCATATTCTGAACCTAATCAAGTGGGATTTGCAACCAATGTGACCAGAGGCTCTTCCTTCTTGCCTCCCGTTTTTTTTGCCTTGCGAAGAGCCTCTGCAACCAGGGTAAGCTATCATCAGCTATGTCTTTGACTCTGTTTTGCTGTGGCTTCCCTAAATGTATAAACAAAGTCAGTATTTGCCAATGCAACAGAAATCCATTTTTGAAACACATTTGGGATACAAATTTGACAAATAATCAAAAAATATTTCACACGGCTGCCAAATAACACAAGAAGGCAGGTGACAACAAAACGATACCTTAATTCCATCGGCCTTACCCACCCTGGACCACCACCTTTGCCGACCCCGGACCCATCGAAAATTTCAGATTTTTTTCCTGACCCCGGACCCATCGAAAATTTCAGATTTTTTCCTGACCCCGGACCCATCGAAAATTTCAGATTTTTTTCCTGACCCCGGACCCATCGAAAATTTCAGATTTTTTTCCTGACCCCGGACCCATCGAAAATTTCAGATTTTTTTCCTGACCCCGGACCCATCGAAAATTTCAGATTTTTTTCCTGACCCCGGACCCATCGAAAATTTCAGATTTTTTTCCTGACCCCGGACCCATCGAAAATTTCAGATTTTTTTCCTGACCCCGGACCCATCGAAAATTTCAGATTTTTTTCCTGACCCCGGACCCATCGAAAATTTCAGATTTTTTTCCTGACCCCGGACCCATCGAAAATTTCAGATTTTTTTCCTGACCCCGGACCCATCGAAAATTTCAGATTTTTTTCCTGACCCCGGACCCATCGAAAATTTCAGATTTTTTTCCTGACCCCGGACCCATCGAAAATTTCAGATTTTTTCCTGACCCCGGACCCATCGAAAATTTCAGATTTTTTTCCTGACCCCGGACCCATCGAAAATTTCAGATTTTTTTCCTGACCCCGGACCCATCGAAAATTTCAGATTTTTTCCTGACCCCGGACCCATCGAAAATTTCAGATTTTTTCCTGACCCCGGACCCATCGAAAATTTCAGATTTTTTCCTGACCCCGGACCCATCGAAAATTTCAGATTTTTTCCTGACCCCGGACCCATCGAAAATTTCAGATTTTTTCCTGACCCCGGACCCATCGAAAATTTCAGATTTTTTCCTGACCCCGGACCCATCGAAAATTTCAGATTTTTTCCTGACCCCGGACCCATCGAAAATTTCAGATTTTTTTCCTGACCCCGGACCCATCGAAAATTTCAGATTTTTTTCCTGACCCCGGACCCATCGAAAATTTCAGATTTTTTTCCTGACCCCGGACCCATCGAAAATTTCAGATTTTTTTCCTGACCCCGGACCCATCGAAAATTTCAGATTTTTTTCCTGACCCCGGACCCATCGAAAATTTCAGATTTTTTTCCTGACCCCGGACCCATCGAAAATTTCAGATTTTTTTCCTGACCCCGGACCCATCGAAAATTTCAGATTTTTTTCCTGACCCCGGACCCATCGAAAATTTCAGATTTTTTTCCTGACCCCGGACCCATCGAAAATTTCAGATTTTTTTCCTGACCCCGGACCCATCGAAAATTTCAGATTTTTTTCCTGACCCCGGACCCATCGAAAATTTCAGATTTTTTTCCTGACCCCGGACCCATCGAAAATTTCAGATTTTTTTCCTGACCCCGGACCCATCGAAAATTTCAGATTTTTTTCCTGACCCCGGACCCATCGAAAATTTCAGATTTTTTTCCTGACCCCGGACCCATCGAAAATTTCAGATTTTTTTCCTGACCCCGGACCCATCGAAAATTTCAGATTTTTTTCCTGACCCCGGACCCATCGAAAATTTCAGATTTTTTCCTGACCCCGGACCCATCGAAAATTTCAGATTTTTTCCTGACCCCGGACCCATCGAAAATTTCAGATTTTTTCCTGACCCCGGACCCATCGAAAATTTCAGATTTTTTCCTGACCCCGGACCCATCGAAAATTACAGATTTTTTCCTGACCCCGGACCCATCGAAAATTACAGATTTTTTCCTGACCCCGGACCCATCGAAAATTTCAGATTTTTTCCTGACCCCGGACCCATCGAAAATTTCAGATTTTTTCCTGACCCCGGACCCATCGAAAATTTCAGATTTTTTCCTGACCCCGGACCCATCGAAAATTTCAGATTTTTTCCTGACCCCGGACCCATCGAAAATTTCAGATTTTTTCCTGACCCCGGACCCATCGAAAATTTCAGATTTTTTCCTGACCCCGGACCCATCGAAAATTTCAGATTTTTTCCTGACCCCGGACCCATCGAAAATTACAGATTTTTTCCTGACCCCGGACCCATCGAAAATTACAGATTTTTTCCTGACCCCGGACCCATCGAAAATTACAGATTTTTTCCTGACCCCGGACCCATCGAAAATTTCAGATTTTTTCCTGACCCCGGACCCATCGAAAATTTCAGATTTTTTCCTGACCCCGGACCCATCGAAAATTTCAGATTTTTTCCTGACCCCGGACCCATCGAAAATTTCAGATTTTTTCCTGACCCCGGACCCATCGAAAATTACAGATTTTTTCCTGACCCCGGACCCATCGAAAATTACAGATTTTTTCCTGACCCCGGACCCATCGAAAATTACAGATTTTTTCCTGACCCCGGACCCATCGAAAATTACAGATTTTTTCCTGACCCCGGACCCATCGAAAATTTCAGATTTTTTCCTGACCCCGGACCCATCGAAAATTTCAGATTTTTTCCTGACCCCGGACCCATCGAAAATTTCAGATTTTTTCCTGACCCCGGACCCATCGAAAATTACAGATTTTTTCCTGACCCCGGACCCATCGAAAATTACAGATTTTTTCCTGACCCCGGACCCATCGAAAATTACAGATTTTTTCCTGACCCCGGACCCATCGAAAATTTCAGATTTTTTCCTGACCCCGGACCCATCGAAAATTTCAGATTTTTTCCTGACCCCGGACCCATCGAAAATTTCAGATTTTTTCCTGACCCCGGACCCATCGAAAATTTCAGATTTTTTCCTGACCCCGGACCCATCGAAAATTTCAGATTTTTTCCTGACCCCGGACCCATCGAAAATTACAGATTTTTTCCTGACCCCGGACCCATCGAAAATTACAGATTTTTTCCTGACCCCGGACCCATCGAAAATTACAGATTTTTTCCTGACCCCGGACCCATCGAAAATTTCAGATTTTTTCCTGACCCCGGACCCATCGAAAATTTCAGATTTTTTCCTGACCCCGGACCCATCGAAAATTTCAGATTTTTTCCTGACCCCGGACCCATCGAAAATTTCAGATTTTTTCCTGACCCCGGACCCATCGAAAATTACAGATTTTTTCCTGACCCCGGACCCATCGAAAATTACAGATTTTTTCCTGACCCCGGACCCATCGAAAATTACAGATTTTTTCCTGACCCCGGACCCATCGAAAATTTCAGATTTTTTCCTGACCCCGGACCCATCGAAAATTTCAGATTTTTTCCTGACCCCGGACCCATCGAAAATTTCAGATTTTTTCCTGACCCCGGACCCATCGAAAATTTCAGATTTTTTCCTGACCCCGGACCCATCGAAAATTTCAGATTTTTTCCTGACCCCGGACCCATCGAAAATTACAGATTTTTTCCTGACCCCGGACCCATCGAAAATTACAGATTTTTTCCTGACCCCGGACCCATCGAAAATTACAGATTTTTTCCTGACCCCGGACCCATCGAAAATTACAGATTTTTTCCTGACCCCGGACCCATCGAAAATTTCAGATTTTTTCCTGACCCCGGACCCATCGAAAATTTCAGATTTTTTCCTGACCCCGGACCCATCGAAAATTTCAGATTTTTTCCTGACCCCGGACCCATCGAAAATTTCAGATTTTTTCCTGACCCCGGACCCATCGAAAATTACAGATTTTTTCCTGACCCCGGACCCATCGAAAATTACAGATTTTTTCCTGACCCCGGACCCATCGAAAATTACAGATTTTTTCCTGACCCCGGACCCATCGAAAATTACAGATTTTTTCCTGACCCCGGACCCATCGAAAATTTCAGATTTTTTCCTGACCCCGGACCCATCGAAAATTTCAGATTTTTTCCTGACCCCGGACCCATCGAAAATTTCAGATTTTTTCCTGACCCCGGACCCATCGAAAATTTCAGATTTTTTCCTGACCCCGGACCCATCGAAAATTTCAGATTTTTTCCTGACCCCGGACCCATCGAAAATTTCAGATTTTTTTCCTGACCCCGGACCCATCGAAAATTTCAGATTTTTTCCTGACCCCGGACCCATCGAAAATTTCAGATTTTTTCCTGACCCCGGACCCATCGAAAATTTCAGATTTTTTCCTGACCCCGGACCCATCGAAAATTTCAGATTTTTTCCTGACCCCGGACCCATCGAAAATTTCAGATTTTTTCCTGACCCCGGACCCATCGAAAATTTCAGATTTTTTCCTGACCCCGGACCCATCGAAAATTTCAGATTTTTTCCTGACCCCGGACCCATCGAAAATTACAGATTTTTTCCTGACCCCGGACCCATCGAAAATTTCAGATTTTTTCCTGACCCCGGACCCATCGAAAATTTCAGATTTTTTCCTGACCCCGGACCCATCGAAAATTTCAGATTTTTTCCTGACCCCGGACCCATCGAAAATTTCAGATCGCTTTTTGTCAGAGGAAACGCCTTGCACCTGAGTTTGTGGGTTTGATTCTCTCTGTAGTCAGTCGACGCTCTGCCGAAAGTTGTGGGTTTTCTCCACAGGAAAAGTAGGTTAGGAGAAACACATTTAAGAAAGAGCTGTGTACCATAAACTTCCGACTATAAGGCCCCCCCCCCCGAATATAAGCTCCCCCAAATATAAGCCTGTACCACATATACTAACGCTCACCTCATTCCAAATATAAGTTCCCCCGAATATAAGCCCACTCGTATATAAGCCCACCCTGGTATAAGCCCATCAAAAATCGCTTACAAAAGTATATATATAAGCCCAGGGCTTACTAGTCGTAGGTTTACGGTATATAAATAGGTAAGCGTATAATACCTGATTTCATTATATAAATGCTAATTGTAATTAAAGAATTAATTGAACATGTGAACAATACTTTTGGCTATTTTTGGCTAGCTTCTCCCACTTAGTATGTCATACCTATAAATACATCGATACTATCAGTGTCAGTAAAAATAGTGTTGATTGATTTAGACATGTTTGTTCCACAGGTGACACACTTTGTGTGAGTAGAGGAACAATTTGATGTTCTAGTTTTGGTAAGTTTAAATATCATTTAATTTTGACACGAGGAGACAATTTTTTGACAGTATTTTGATGATTGGCAAGTGAACTTTCCTTTATTTTGCGTAAGCAATGTTAATTGTATGTCATGTACGTCTATACACCTTCTATGTCTTGTATGCCTATAGATATCTTAATTCATTTGACTCTTCACTTGTTGAGTAAAATATTCTGTTTTTGGCCACTTTTTCCATTTTCGAAAAAAGGGTGAAAGGCTATATAGAAAATAATCGTCCAAAAAGTAAGGCTATATAGCCTTAACTTTTCGTCCATTTTCAGCCACTTTTTCGATTTTTGAAAAGGGGCAAAATTGGCAAAAAAGTAAGGCTTTAGCCTTAAATTTTCGTCCATTTTTTGCCACTTTTTCAAAAATGAAATAAGTCGCAAAAAATGAGCAAAAAGTAAGGCTATATATAGCCTTAACTTTTCGTCCATTTTTTGCCACTTTTTCAAAATTGAAATAAGTTGCAAAAAATGAGCAAAAAGTAAGGCTACAGCCTTAACTTTTCGTCCATTTTTTTCCACTTTTCAAAATTGAAATAAGTTGAAAAAAATGAGCAAAAAGTAAGGCTATAACCTTAACTTTTCCTCCATTTTTTGCCACTTTTTCAAAAATGAAATAAGTCGCAAAAAAGGAGCAAAAAGTAAGGCTATATATAGCCTTAACTTTTCGTCCATTTTTTGCCAAAAATTGAAATAAGTTGCAAAAAATGAGCAAAAAGTAAGGCTACAGCCTCAACTTTTCGTCCATTTTTTTCCACTTTTCAAAATTGAAATAAGTTGAAAAAAATGAGCAAAAAGTAAGGCTATAACCTTAACTTTTCCTCCATTTTTTGCCACTTTTTCAAAAATGAAATAAGTGGCAAAAAAGGAGCAAAAAGTAAAGCTATTGCCTTAACTTTTCGTCCATTTTTTGCCACTTTTTCAAAAATGAAATAAGTGGGAAAAAATGAGCAAAAAGTAAGGCTATTGCCTATAATATGATCTTTCAAAAACATAATTCTAAATTACCAAATCTAAATTTTTACATAGGAGACAATAGGGTCGAAGAGTTAAGGCTGTAGCCTTATATATGATCTTTCAAAAACATAATTCTAAATTACCAAATCTAAATTTTTACATTGGAGACAATAGGGTCGAAAAGTTAAGGCTAGCCTTATATATGATCTTTCAAAAACATAATTCTAAATTACCAAATCTAAATTTTTACATAGGAGACAATAGGGTCGATATCACAAAAGAATACACTTATCTCAGCCTGAAATTAGTCCCAAATGGCAAATTTAAAACTGCACAACAACAGCTTAGCGAGAAAGCGCCGCATGCACTTTATAAAATCCGTAAAAAACTAGACTTTCACAAATTATCACCAAAAACGTCAACTAAAATATTTGATGGAGTCATCTCCCCTATTCTTCTATATAACTCTGAAGTCTGGGGTGCATACGAAAAGAATGACTACAACAAATGGGACAACACAGGAACGGAAAAAATCCACCTAAAATTCTGCAAACTATTTAGGAGTTAGCAGAAGAGCAAGTAATATAGCTTGTAGAGGAGAACTTGGGAAATTCCCACTCCTAATTTCAATAAAAAAGAATATAATCAACTACATTAAATACATCCTCAAACTACCTGACACTTCAATTGTAAAAATGGCTCTATATATACCTATCTAAAGGATTGCATAAAAATAACAAAGAATCGAATTATGGAAATGCTATGTGCATGTTAAAGTCATTCTACTCCGATGAATCAAATGATGTACAAACAGCTTTAATAAACTACGATACAACAACAGTAGTAAACAAAATCAAAGAAAAATATGTTGAGTTCTGGAGACATAAAACAACCAATTCCAGCAAATTATCTTTTCTATGCACATTCAAAAAGGATTACAAAATGGAACCATACTTGTATCTAATAAAAAATCCAACAATAAGAAGAGCATTTACCCAATTTAGAATAAGCAATCACAAACTTCAAATCGAACGCGGACGATACGAAAACATTCCCCGTGAACGGCGTATTTGCAAACTTTGCAACTCTAACACGGAAATAGAAAATGAATTTCATCTTGTTTTCACTTGCGAAAAATATGATAACATAAGAAATAGTTCAAATAACATACTAAAAAACCTGTTTAATTTGAATACCACAACAGAAAGTAAACAAAAGTTACTGGAACACGTAATGTCATCCCACGATTCAGTTCTTGTAAATTTATTATCCAAATTTATTTCTCTTTGCTCTATTGAAAGGGAAATTAGCCTCAAATCCATGGAACTCCACTGAAATAAGTAAAAAACAAAACAAATTTTCGGCAGCAAATTTCAAATTAATTAAATAATTCTAGAATGCATGCTGCAAAATACTTTTATACTTATTTTATTATGCCTTTGTAAAGTAGTTCAACTTATACAAATAACTATATTAGTACATTAGCAATAAATACATATACGTTAATCTTAGCTCCTATACTTATTACCATTCTAGCAATACCTGTAAATACGTCATGCTTTTGAATTAATAATAATAATAATAGCCTTAACTTTTCGTCCATTTTTTGCCACTTTTTCAAAAATAAAATAAGTGGCAAAAAATGAGCAAAAAGTAAGGCTATAGCCTTAACTTTTCGTCCATTTTTTGCCACTTTTTCAAAAATGAGATAAGTGGGAAAAAATGAGCAAAAAGTAAAGCTATATAGCCTTAACTTTTCGTCCATTTTTTGCCACTTTTTCAAAAATGAAATAAGTGGCAAAAATTGAGCAAAGAGTAAGGCTATAGCCTTAACTTTTCGTCCATTTTTTGCCACTTTTTCAAAAATGAAATAAGTGGCAACAAGAAAATATTTCTTTAAAAAAGAAATAATGTTTCGTTCCAATATAATTATAGAAATACCAGACGTCTGTAATTAGCGGTTGTGACCATAGATCACTTGTATATGTCGACCAATGAAATTGGTTCATTTTGTGAGGCGGGCGGGTTCTATAAATTTTCATTACCCGGAGGGGCCGAGCGGTCCAGAAATACAGTTGTAGTATTTAAAATGAAGAAAAACAAAGAAAACTATATAATAAATATATACCGCTGTTGAAATACAGTTGTAGTATTTAAAATGAAGAAAAACAAAGAAAACTATATAATAAATATATACCGCTGTTGGTGCTTGAATACTTCAAATATAAATCATCGTGCCTGTAGATTTTGACCTGAAGTTCAGGCCCTAGATTTTGATTGGTTGCAAGTTCACATAAACAACAGTTTTAAAAATAGCTCGGTGAAGGGCTCAACTCCGCTCAAGGGGACAATAATAATATAAAGGTCAAATGCACGTAACAAATCCATTATCGATTTCTTCGAATTTCTTTTCTTTTATGCTTTATGGCAGAAAATAAATCAAACAAATAGTATTTTGAAGGTCTTTATCTAAATCTTTGACGAATTTTGGACACACGACGCCGAAAGAACAGCCAAACTAGTCATCTATTCGAAAGTTTGTTGTTGACAGCCAAGATGTTCTGGCAACTGGCTTCGCCGGCAAAAGTCTTATTTTTAATATCAGGTCCTACCGGCGTTGTTTTCTGAGCTACATCGCCTTTTTCGTGGTACGATTGAGAATTTTATTGTTGCTGTTGTTAGCCCGTTAAAGTATATCCTTGGTATATATCCGCGTCCAGCAAGTTGAGACCTTGAGAAAGCTTGGCAGTCAAGCTGTACACAGCACTGACTAATTGAATCTTCGTTTGCTGTTCGGTTAAATAGAGAAACTGACTCTTAATTATATAAAAGTACCTTGAATTTTTAAGTTTAATTAAAAAGCAAAATGCACACTCTGCGGACATGTTCATGGGCAATTGATAAAACTAGAATAGTGAAGCGAATAGTGCGAATAGTCGACGAATAGTACGAATAGTCCGCGAATAGTCGACGAATAGTGCGAATAGTCCGCGAATAGTCGACGAATAGTGCGAATAGTCCGCGAATAGTCGACGAATAGTACGAATAGTCCACGAATAGGCGACGAATAGTACGAATAGTCCACGAATAGGCGACGAATAGTACGAATAGTGCAATAGAGACTTTGCAAGGCTTTGCAGCAGTGCTATAGAACTAAATTTACCGGGGGGGGCTCTGTTGACAAACATGAAATCGTGAAAACATTCGTCGACGTACGTCAATGACGTCATACGTCTAGTGATTGTCATCAGTGGCGCCGTGGCCGGGGGGGGCATGGCCCTCCCCTATTGTTGACACCCGTCGTAAAATTGCCAATGCTGCCGGAAATTGTCGGAAAATTGTCAAGGCTGTCGGAAATTGTCAAAGTTGTCGACGGGGGGGGGGTGAAGATTTAAAATGTTGTCGTCCGGAAAACTTTTTGGTTTGTCGGAAAATTTTTTCGGTTTGTCGGAAAAGTACTGCCCTTGCCCCCCCCCCAAAAAAAAAACATGGGTCCCACGGCGCCACTGATTGTCATTCTACTTCCTGTTAAATATTTGTTAAAACTCAGTGGTCCCGTAATTTTTACCGATTACGTATGACGTCATTGACATCAACGAATGTTTTCACGATTTCATGTTTGTCAATAGAGCCCCCCCCCCCGCCCCGCTTCGGTAAATTTAGTTCTACAGCACGGTGGAAAGCCTTGCAAATTCTCTATTGCACTATTCGTCGACTATTCGTACTATTCGTCGACTATTCGCGGACTATTCGCACTATTCGTCGACTATTCGCGGACTATTCGTACTATTCGTCGACTATTCGCGGACTATTCGCACTATTCGTCGACTATTCGCGGACTATTCGCACTATTCGTCGACTATTCGCACTATTCGTACTATTCGCTTCACTATTCTAGTTTTATCAATTGCCCATGTTCATGAGAATATAATTTTTTTGTGTAACGAAATCTATAACACTTGTCAATCATATTGCATGCTGTGTCTAAAAATAACATGTGAGCGTCCCACGGTCTAGACAGGTTTTGTGTCAGGCCCTATTTAAAATTAGGGCCTGAACTTCAAGGTTAAGTTAGCATGTTCTCATAGGTTGATATATAATTAACTAAGATTTCCGAATTATACGCCACGCCTCCAAAAAACTTCTTATGCTAGGAGCGGTCATCTCATTGGACGATTCTAAATGTAATTGACGTTTGAGCAAGAAAACCAATACCAGCCGACAATTTCAAAAAATATAATACAAAACATAATCCGAAGATAAGCATCTTGAAACCCAAAATATGAGTCAAACAAGAAAGTGAGTGAGTAATATTTCGATTTTATTACAAAATCATCATCAGACTAACTAAAGTTACAATATACACATGGTCTTATATACAAGTTGGCAAGGCATGATGACAGCTTAACGGAAGTCTCAATCAGAACCACGACAGTTGCAGTGAGATGTTAGTGTGATGAAATGTGGGTGTATCGATTAAGAAAAAAGCTTGAGTTCTTTGCTGGCTTTGAGTCCAGTGTTTAAACTGGGTGAATGATACTTGATATATAGAGCTTCAAGCAACAAGAGTAAGTTAGGTGTGCGAGAATAAATAGTGTGAAGAATTCGAGAGTTGTCAGATATTAAGTTGGAAATAAAAGTGGAAACGTTATTGTCAGCGTCAGTTGGGTTGTTAAGTTTGTCAAAAACAAAGTGTAGGTTTACAATGTATTGCACATGTTCGCAGTTGTGAAAATGTTGTCCAATAGCACTTTTTGTCAGATTGGTATGTTCAGCGAGTCGCGTCTGTAAACGTCTTTCTGTTTTCCAATATACGTTGCGGAACAGCCAGGACATGTCACCTCATAAACTACATTGGATTTCGAAAGATTCGGAATTTTGTCTTTGTTGGAAAGGAAATAAGAAAACTTTTTGTTGTCATAAACAACTATAAAATTTACAGGAACAGTTAGGCATCTTTGTATTTTCTTTATGCAACTTTTAACTAAAGTTTCACCTTGTTTACCAAGGTATGGAACGCAAACCCAAACCTTAGGCCTAGTGTCGTTTTCATCAAAAAAGTTAGTGCGAGGTCGATCCGCAGAAAATTTGTTTTTTAGTTTAGATATCAATAAATTCCTGATCGCACGAGGAAAGCCATTCCAAGACATAAACATTTTAAGCTTCCGAACTTGGTTATCAAATAGTTGACTGGTACTGCATAATTTTGATGCTCGGTGAAACAAAGATTTAACCCACGCAGTTTTACGTGAAAATGGTTCAAAACTAGAAAAATGCGTGTATTGTCCAGTGTGCGTACTTTTGTAGTAAACATCAGTGTTATCCGACGAAATCAAAATGTCCAAAAATGAATTACATTATCCGGAAAGGTATCAACTGTAAATTGGAGATTTTTGTCAAAACTATTA